ATTTAAGATTTATATTCTAGTCTCAAGATCTGATTAGATTTTGAACAAAATTGGTGCATTGACAATTATGGATTTTGTACCTTTTTGGTGTTGCTAATATATCTATACGGGGCGTTCGACTATCCCGGGGAAAAATTTTAATGGGAGATCCTAGAGGCCAAAATAAGACGAAAATCAAGAATATCAATTTGTTGACTGAGGCTTCGTTAAAAAGTTATTAACAATTAAATTAAAAAATTTCAAACCCTTCTGAAAAAATTATTTTCTATTGCAGGGGGGAATTACAATCATTTTTGGTCGATAGACATACCCTCGAAATCTTAACCATTTTCGAGAAAAAAATTCGAGAAAATATGAAATTTTTCGATAAAATTGAAAAATTTCAAATCGTTCTAGAAAAAATATTTTCAATTGCAGGGGTGAATTACAATCATTTTTGGTCGATAGACATACCCTCGAAATCTTAACCATTTTCGAGAAAAAAATTCGAGAAGGTATGAAATTTTTCGATAAAATTGAAAAATTTCAAATCGTTCTAGAAAAAATATTTTCAATTGCAGGGGTGAATTACAATCATTTTTGGTCGATAGACATACCCTCGAAATCTTAACCATTTTCGAGAAAAAAATTCGAGAAAATATGAAATTTTTCGATAAAATTGAAAAATTTCAAATCGTTCTAGAAAAAATATTTTCAATTGCAGGGGTGAATTACAATCATTTTTGGTCGATAGACATACCCTCGAAATTTTAACCATTTTCGAGAAAAAAATTCGAGAAGGTATGAAATTTTTCGATAAAATTAGAAAATTTCAAATCGTTCTAGAAAAAATATTTTCAATTGCAGGGGTGAATTACAATCATTTTTGGTCGATAGACATACCCTCGAAATTTTAACCATTTTCGAGAAAAAAATTCGAGAAGGTATGAAATTTTTCGATAAAATTGAAAAATTTCAAATCGTTCTAGAAAAAATATTTTCAATTGCAGGGGTGAATTACAATCATTTTTGGTCGATAGACATACCCTCGAAATTTTAACCATTTTCGAGAAAAAAATTCGAGAAGGTATGAAATTTTTCGATAAAATTGAAAAATTTCAAATCGTTCTAGAAAAAATATTTTCAATTGCAGGGGTGAATTACAATCATTTTTGGTCGATAGACATACCCTCGAAATCCTAACCATTTTCGAGAAAAAAATTCATTACTGAAAATATTATTTCAGGCCCAGAAATGTCACTCGAAAATTTCTTGCGTATCTTTAAATCGTCATAATTTCTGAACGGATTGGAGGATTTTAATGTTTCAAACGGCAAACAACGTGTATTTTGGTGAAGAATACCTGGGAATTCTAAGAATATTGAAAAAGTTGTTCCTTGACACCGTAAAGTTAGAAAAACCCCCACAAAAATGGTCCAATTTTCAAATAGTTATAACCCCTGCAATAGTGAATATATTTCAATGAAACTTTTTTCTGAAGTAGAGCTTATGGGTACCTACAAAAAAGTATTAGACAAGTTTTCTGTTGGGCGTTAAACAAAATTACTAAAAATCAAAAACGAATTTTTAAGGAAAATCGAAAGGGTGCCTTTTCTCGACGAAAGTAAAAAATTTCAAATCATTCTGGAAAAACTATTTTTGGCTGTGGGGGTCAATTACAATCAGTTTTGGTCATTAGGCATAACCCCGAAATCCTACGCATTTTCAAGAAAAAAATTCAGGAAAGTGAACTTTTTCATCGAAATGGAAAAATTTCAAATAATTCTGAAAAAATTATTTTTAGTTGCGAATGTCAATTACAATCATTTTTTGTCATTAGACATACCTTCGAAATCCTTCTCACTTTCGAGAAAAAAATTCGAGAAGGTGTGAAATTTTTCGACAAAATTACAAAATTTCAAATCGTTTTGGAAAAATTATTTTCGCTTGCAGGGGTCAATTACAATCATTTTTCGTGAATACACACACCCCCGAAATTTCACGCATTTTCGAGAAAAAAATTCATTACCGAAAATATAATGTCTGACCATAACAGTCTGTTACCCTGAAAATTGCAAAGTATCAAATCATTCTAAAAAAATTATTTTCGCTTGCAGGGGTCAATTACAATCATTTTTCGTGAATACACACACCCCCGAAATTTTACGCATTTTCGAGAAAAAAATTCATTACCGAAAATATACTGCGTGAAAATGTTACTATAACTTTTTAACGAAGCCTCAATCAACAAATTAGTATCCTTGATTTTCGCTTTATTTTTACCTCTAGAATCTCCCATTAAAATTTTTCCAAGGAGTGGTCGAACACCTTAATTAATAGTAATTAATGAACGTAGTCAAAAATTTGAAAAAATTTAATTTATCTTTTCTTCTTCGTTACATCGATTTACATTATATTAATATACATTTAAAAAAATTTTTTAAACTTTGACTTAAGCCACTTTCATAATTTAAATAATTATTAATGCATATAACGCCCTCTTTGAAACCATGCTACTTTTGTGTACTATAATTTTTCATACAACGCATTATATGTTTTACTGTTTGCAGTATTCTTCTAATAAGTGTGAAAACCTTGTCGAGACAACCATCGAAATTTAAAAGACATTTTATCGCTTATAAAATTAATTTAATTTTTGTTTATCTTTTTATAAAATTTTTTACTACTGCATTTGTAAATTCTTCCCGATTAAAATAACACTAAACATAAAAAATTCCATACATTTATTCCAAGAATACTGTATATTACAATCCTAAAAACAGTATTTGATCGATTTTGACTATGAACCGCTGTATTATACATATTCCATGCCAGATCGAACACTTTTTAGAGCAACATTTTGCATTTGGATGAAACTTGGATGTGTTTCAGCCCTAAATGATATTTAACACTTTACCGACCGGCAGCGGTTGATTAATCGGCTATCGGTCGGTAAGCGTTGGTCGGTAAAGAAGTTTATTAATACGCTATCGGTCGGTAAGTGTTGGCCGGTAAAACAGTCGATTAATAGGCTATCGGTCGGTAATGTGTTAAACGTGTATCGAAGGATTTTTCGAAATTTTGAAAATTGTTGATTGTACAGCTATTTGAACAATGATACAAACATTTGCTCAATAAATTATAACTGTTAAATTGCCCAATAGAATGAGAATGAGCTTGAAGGGAAAAGACTCTCAAATAAATATTAATTTATTTAAAAAAAATTTCTTCAACTTTATATATAATTCTTTTACAGAGATATGCTAGCTTCTAGTAGTTAGAAGACATTTTAAAATCTGAAAAAACTTGAAAATATAGTTATGTATCCTCTTCACAGAATAACTTTTAAAAAAGGTAACAATTTAATATTATCCATATGAGGAGTAATCGAAGTTTATTGAAACGATTAGCGTGATTGCGTTGTACAGTATGGTCCATTAGAAACAAGGTATTTTATTTATTTTAAATAATAAAAAAATCTTGTAAATAGTTTGTCTATGAAAGTGTAGAAAAGATTTGATAACTTCCTAACGACTAAGTTTAGGGCATAAGTACGTTAGTACTTTTATGTAGAGCATAAAAAACTACATCGACTGGCGCAGTGAAAAATGTAGGTTTCCATTTTAAAAAAAAGTTCAGTTGCATATTTCTGATGCACCAGTGCACAAAAGTGCATAAAATTAGTTGCATATACCGCATCGTCTGATACCATTTAACTTTGATTTGTAACATATTTTTCTATTCCCAACCGTTTCGGAGATATAGCCTGTTCCAGTTGCGACACCCTGTATACGACATAGGGGATCAAATAATCCTTTGAAATTCGTTATAAGATATCCAAATTTAAAGCAAATCCAAAACATTGCTCCAAAAAAATATGTTCGATTTAGCGTGCACACGGCAGCTTTGACTTGGGGGCCCAGAACGCTTAATTTTCGTCCATGGGGGACTGTAAATGGGTTAAATGTTTATGCGCTTCGCGAGCACACTTGGACCGCCACTAACGTGGTCGGAATTGGAGTAATCGAGTGCATCGATGGGGAACACCAGTAACGACGAACTGCCTTTAGCGCCCCAACGGAATGGCGGAGAAAGCAGGAACCACATAAAGAAAGATGGCGGGTGTGAATCTTTGCTTCTCGTTCTTGCAACGCATGAAATTCGACCTTACAACAATCGACATACGATTTCGCGTAATTTTCCTATTTTCCTATTTTCTGCGATCATTAGTTGTCTCAGATAGTTTATTCGAGTTGTCAAGCAACTGTTTCGCTCGTTTATTATCGTCAAGTGAGCACAACAATCAGGTAAGAGCGTCCATTACACTTTTATGCGCGAATTTTTTGCATTTCGTATCTTTTATTTAATTTTTTAGTTTGCCTTGAAATTAATGTGACTTCGAGTGAAGGTTATGTGTCAAGTAATTCTTCATTACAGAATATATAATAATAGATCATCCAAAATTGTTAAAATACTTTATTTATTATTTATTATAATGAATCTTGTAATAAAGAAACAAACACTCTTATTATCGATTATGAAAGAGAAACTTAAATCTACGAATATTCCTCGACATGTGCTTTCCACATTTTTGCACACAGCGCCCCCTGTTTATAAAAACTGGTAAATTCTAAAACACCAAAGAAAAGATGAATTTGAAGTCATATTTCTAACAAAAATTACTCATGTTATAAATATTTTAAACAGTATTAAGAAATATAACAATCCGAATGAAGTGTTACACGTAGATGAATCGCTAAAGGAAGTTTGTCGTTACTATCGTCGCCATCGATGCACTCAGTTATGACCGCAACGTCAGATATTGGCCATACTCGGGTGGTACGACTGGTCCGCAAAAGGTTAACGCAGCTTGCATCGATCCCTTAGGAAACCACCCAGGCCCGTCTAGTCCAACCGAAACAACGAGTGTCAGAAGATATTCCTCGATAAAGTTAACCAAACAATCGTTAGCAAATCGGGGAGCGGAAATTGGCTGACTCGGGTGAATGTGTGCGTTGCAGAACAGTCACGACCGGGAGACATGCGCGAGAAGCCTGCGCGCCACCCAAGATTCACGACCGTCTCCGGGTGCGTTCCCGCCAGCCGCGCTCTGCGGTGTACCTCAGCACCAGCAACAACAACAACACGCGCAACAGCAACGGATGAGTTTAGCCACGCAGCAACGTTGCTGCGCCATGAGCCAAGCGCAACGAATCACCTGTACGAGCAGTAACGCTCGACCACACAGGCCAGCCTCGCTGGACATCGGCGCGTCAAGGCGCTGCCCACTCAGCTGTACACGCGCAGCCGCGATATCGACATCGTCACCGATCGCGGTTAACCCTCTCACCCCCTCCTCAGCGCCGGCTGCGTGCGCCGCGAGAGGTTTCTTCGAGGATTGCACGGGACCAGCCGACGCGAACTGCACCAACCACGTACAGAACACGGGAAACGAGCCAGCTGGATTCGAACTGAACGTGAACGTTGCCTGCAGTCCTGCTAGCAATCGCGGTACTCATCCACAGTAGCCAGCAACACTAATCTCTAATACAGTCCACTTGATCAAACGCAATAGTATTTTTGGTATATTCCTAGCAAACGGCCTAGCAAATCGTTCACCGATCTGGATGAGTTATACGTCATTCGATTCGTCTAATTCAATACATTATTGATATGCATTTCATTATCTGCGGAAATTCGTTATTTTTTTTATAAACTTGTCGTAAAGTTACGGTAAAAAAGTAAGGTTAAGTATATTTTGACAAGTCCACAGGTGGAAACAAGCGACTGTCGTTACTCTGATCAAAATGCTAGGTAGTCAAATGCTAATTTGTTAAACATTTATCGAATGAAATTTCTACTATTTCTGCTAATATTTCATTGAATAAATCACCATTTTTCTATTAGGTACATTTACTAAATACATAATGGCTCAGGCATTCGATGAAGTTACTCTTCTTAAAAATATAAAATATCGATAGTATTATATGTTATAAAAAAGATTAAAAAATGTGTAGCATGCCTCCGAGTGGTTTCAATTTAATTCGTGTAAGCATCGGTAATGGGATCCTCAAAACTGACGCTGTGATTAATTTTCAAGCGACCTCTGTGATATTTTCTATGACAAAATGTTGATTCATCGATCTCGACAATCTACTCTACTCTTCCAATTGCTGGGCAGTATTTTTATTTAATTTTAGTTATATAATAATACGACATTGCTCATAATTATATGTTAGTATATATGTTAATTTTAAAACATCTATAGCTGAGTTTGTTTTTAGAAAACCACGTTCTTTGCTTCGCAAATATCTTTATATTACAATGTCTTTTACGTTTAGTTTAATCGACAGATCCTGGAATAGTTATCCTGCATTGCCAATTTTCATAACATTTCCACGTTGCAGATAGTACAAGAAACAGAAGAAAAGCAGAAATTGTTTCGGTAATCATTTGTTTCAACTGTCATTTCTGATTTTCTTCTGTTTCTTGTACTTTGCGAATTTTGTTCAACCGTGCTATAAAAATGACCGAATTAGTAGTTCCAGAAGCGTGGACCTTATTTAAATTGCACGAATTTTGTAAAAATAAAGAAGCTTTATTAAAATTTTTGCAAGATAAAAAGTTGATTGCCAAAAATCTAAACACTAGATTGCCCAAGGAAGTCATTTTGACTGCTTTTTAATTTCAATTAGAAAAACAATTATGTATATAATGACACAATTTCTTAGAATTTTGTGACTTTTTGCAAAACATATAAATGCGTTTATTAATAATTGTAGTTACCTCCCCCCTCCTTCATTTCCGGTATATATACAGGGTGTCCCGTAAATAGTGTAAGAAACGGAAATGGGGGGTAGGTGAGACAATTCTAAGCTACAATTTCCTTTGCAAAAATGTCGGATGGGGCTTCGTTTTTGAATTATTAACGAAAAACACTTATATCGCCCAAAAGCAGTCATTTTGACTGCTTGGGAAATTTTAAATAATCAAATGACTTATTATTGAATTGAGTAAATTTCTTATATGACCAGTTCGACTCTGTTTTGAAATAACAGTTTTCATTTTTTTTCGATTACCAACACATGATAACATACAAGTACATGATAAATTGTCGATTTGGGGGTACCTAACCCAGACCTAACCCAGACCTAACCCAGATCTAATCCAGACATAACCCAAACCTAACCCAGACCTAACCCAGACTCTAGATCTGGGTTAGGTCTGGATTAGATCTGAGTTAGATCTGAGTTAGGTCTGGATTAGATCTGAGTTAGCTCTGGGTTAGGTCTGGGTTAGGTCTGGATTAGATCTGAGTTAGCTCTGGGTTAGGTCTGGATTAGATCTGAATTAGATCTGAGTTAGGTCTGGGTTAGGTCTGGATTAGATCTGAGTTAGCTCTGGGTTAGGTCTGGATTAGATCTGGGTTAGGTCTGGTTTAGGTCTGGGTTAGGTCTGGATTAGTTAATAATCCAAATTATCTTAACCCTTTGCACTCCTATGTCGAGTGTGATTCGACATCAATTTTGATCTCAGGAGCACCTTCGTCAAGTCTCACTCGATATTCTTTCAAGTCCAAACCAAACAGATATGATACACTTGGAAATTACAAAATACAACAACAGTGTGAATGAGACCTAACCCAGATCTAATCCAGACCTAACCCAGATCTAATCCAGATCTAATCCAGACCTAACCCAGATCTAATCCAGACCTAACCCAGACCTAACTCAGATCTAATCCAGACCTAACCCAGACCTAACTCAGATCTAACTCAGATCTAATCCAGACCTAACCCAGACCTAACTCAGATCTAATCCAGACCTAACCCAGACCTAACTCAGATCTAACTCAGATCTAATCCAGACCTAACTCAGATCTAATCCAAACCTAACCCAGACCTAACTCAGATCTAACTCAGATCTAATCCAGACCTAACCCAGATCTAATCCAGACCTAACCCAGATCTAATCCAGACCTAATCCAGATCTAATCCAGACCTAACTCAGATCTAATCCAGACCTAACCCAGACCTAACCCAGACCTAACCCAGATCTAATCCAGACCTAACCCAGATCTAATCCAGATCTAATCCAGATCTAATCCAGACCTAACCCAGATCTAATCCAGACCTAATCCAGACCTAACCCAGACCTAACCCAGACCTATTGATAAATTGCAGTTTCTCAATAAGCTAAAGTAGTACTTGTTATTCGAATCTTTATGCAGTGATACTTGTTCTAACAAGTTGTTTATTTTATTTCTGCGCCGTAAATTCATAATATTATAACATAATATTAAAAATTAATTTTAAACAAATTTTTTTACACATTAGTTAGTCTTTCACAACGCAGTAATTTTGACTGCTTTTGGGCAATATAGGTATATACTAAGTTTCAGTCTTTCTAGCGTTAATTGTCCACAGTGTGGAAACGTAATGAAATTAGACAATGAAAATTGGCGTTGTAGAAAAACAATTGCAGCATCTCTTAGTGCTTGCAAACGAAAGCGAACTTGTGATGTAAAAATATGTGTAAAACGTGGAACGTGGTTTTCAAAAACAAAGCTTTCTTATGAAATGGTATTAAAATTAACTTACACGTTAGTCCATAATTTTGATCAATATCAGATTGTACGAGAATTACAATTGAATAAAAATACTGTTTCTCGATGGAATTATTTTGTAAAACAAGTTATGACTGATTGGCTACAACATTCGTGTGAAGTACTTGGCGGACCAGGCAAAATAGTAGATATAGACGAATCTAAGTTCGGACGAAGAAAATATCACAGAGGTCATCGTGTAGAGGGACAATGGGTTTTTGGAGGAATAGAAAGAGGAAGTGGAAAAATATTCCTGGTGCCTGTTGAAAGTAGGGGCACAGAGTCCCTGCTTTCAATAATTAAACAATGGGTGTTGCCTGGCACAACAATTATTTCAGATTGTTGGAAAGCCTATAACATCTTAGAGAAAGAGGGGTACAAACATCTTACCGTAAATCACAGCTTACATTTCAAAGACCCAGAAACAGGCGCTCATACAAATACGATAGAAACTACGTGGAGGCATAGTAAACACTTTTTGCCTGAATATTGTCGGCTAGTATTTGTAATTTTGCACGTTTTTTAATATTTTCTGTAACATATAATACCACAAAATTTTCTATTTTTAGCAAAAAAGATAATTTCATTGGGTATTTAAGCCACTACGTATTTTACAAATTTTCCAAGCAAGGAAAGGATGATTTATTTAACCAGCTATTAAAAGAAATTGCAGAAATTTCATTTGATTCTACAGATAACCAAAATATACCAGACCTAGATGATAATGAAATTTAATAATAAAAAAAAGTTAATCCAACGCGCTGCATACAATAGTAATTTATTATATTCTCTACCCGTAAACACTGTTTGGGGGGGGACAACATTTTTTGCTCTTGCTGCGTACACTGTCTACCTACAAGTACTGTCTGAGTTGACATGAACATAGCAACGATAGTCACTTGTTTCTATCTGTGAACCTGTCAAAAAATGTACCTAACCTTACTTTTTTACTGTAACCTTACGACAAGTTTATAAAAAAATAACGAATTTCCGCAGATAATGAAATGCATATCAATAATGTATTGAATTAGACGAATCGAATGACGTATAACTCACCCCGATCGGTGAACGGGCCGTATGCTAGGAATGTTCCAAATTATGTATTTTATCTTCGTCAATTTGAGAATATCGGACGGCACGATTTATGAGATGACCTAATAACAAGTGTTAGCAAAGAATGACAAAGGAAAAAGGTTTCCAGTCTCCTGTAACCAACACGGTACTCTACATCGAGTGTTTTTCCTACATTTTTCTAGAAACGACGCGACAGTCAATTTTTTAAATGAAACGTTTTGTTATGCCCTGTGGGAACGTGCATCGAGACGAATTCATCCATGTTCTACACGATTATCTGAAAAGTCATACAATGGCTGATACGAAAAAAATATTATAAATATTATAAGTCGTAAACAACAAAAGATATAAAAAATTAGTTGAAATTGAAGTTATAGCGTTTTTCGAGGCGTATAAAGCTGCGTGTGAATTTTTTTTTGAAAAAATCATTGTTTTTCTGCAAAATTGAATTCCCCCTTCCTCATATTTTTCGAAAAACTTTTTTTCTAATCGATAAATGTTACTATTTATGGTGAATTCAGCGATGTATTTTAATATGTCGGAGTTAAACTCTCGTTATGTGACATGATGGGAGCTTGGGGAACAGGCAGATAATGAAATGAGACAGTAATAATGTCCGAAACAAATTTACTGTTGGTACAAAGTATAGCTTATCGTCTAACTTAGCGCGGTACAGTTCCCAAGAGAGACTCTGGCCCCTGAGCTCGGGAACCAACCACTCTTCACCTTGGTTCCCGTGCTCCAATCGCCCCACTCATGGACTCTGTATAGCGCTGCTCGATCGCGCTTGCGCTCATAACCGATCTAAGGACTCCACAAATATATAATTATTT